TAAATAAATGAATTATACAGAACAATATACATATATACGTTGTTTCTATTGCATAAAACATGTGACCCGTTTTTGGGGTGGTCGTCCTGGATGCCTTCCAAATATCTGATAGTAGAGTCTGGACATGGTGTCCAGGCTCGTCAAAATTGTGCAGAAAAGTGAAATAATTACATGGCGCAGTAGTCAGCAAATTAGTCATGGTTTTTTTATTCGAAATCTTATTGGAAGTAGCAAATTATTTTCCGTGATGTTCATTCAACAAAGTATATTATATTACATTTGGTAGTGATTACTTAAAATAAAACCCGATATGAGAAATGCTTTATTAATATATGTTTAAAAATGCACATGTAAAAAAAATATGATGGCAGAGTCTGGACACGATGTTCGAGCTCATCAAAATTGCACAGAAGAAACGACACAGTACTTTCGGATAATTGGAAAATTATTTTTCATGATGTTTGGTAAAAAAAAGTATTTATATTATATTTAGCAGTGATTATAAAACACACTTTAATTTAGAGGCATGGCCTCACCATTAATATTAAAAAAAAAAAAAAAAAACACACTTTAATAAAAGTTCATTATGTAACGAAAACTTTATTAATATATGTTTGAAAATACACGTGCAAGAAATACTATTTTTCTAATGGACACTGTGTCCGGGCTTGGATTAATCACACTCTGCTTTAAGATTTCGTGTCTGAGCTCATCAAATTGCACAGAGAAAGAGTGACTAACAAACGAAAAAATTGGTTAAATTTATCTCTGAAATTTAGGGTGCATGTTTTTTCTAATGGTAGAGAGTGTCCAAGCTCATCAAAATTGTGCAAAAGCGGAATTAGCATCCAGTTAAATTTATCTCCTAAACCTCTCCTTCTGCAAAAAAAAACCTATCAATTAGCTAACTTTTCTTTTTCTGAATAGAGGTTAAATTTATCTCCCGAAATAGCCAGCCATTAAGGCACTTCGTAAGTCATTGTACAGTATATATGACTATCTGATAGTAGAGTTTGGACATGGTGTCCGGGCTCGGCAAATTATTTTACATGATGTTTGGCAATCAGTTATACATATTTAAAAAATAAAGCCTGATATGAGCAGGATATGCAAATGCTTTATTATATATTTGAGAATATACATGAACGAATTTCTTTTTTTTCTGATAGTAGAGTCTGGACACGATGTCCAGGCTCGACTTAATTGCGCAGAAAAAATGGCACAGTATATTAACAAACCTTTCGTTTTAAGATTTCGGCTATTATATAATCCTTTTTATCCTTAGTTAGATTTAAGATAATACCTGGAGGGATAGATTTTATTCGTGATATTTTTTCTTTGCCTATACTATTAAAAAGCTTATAAACTTTTTCAGATCTTTTCATCCTTTTTCGCAAAGCTTTGTTAGAATATTTTGCCTTAGAAATCGCCTCTCTAACCTCACTCTTGACTAATGCTTGAGATCTATCCTTGCCATGTTCGGGTTTTAATTCTTTGTATTGGTTAAATACAGCTTCACCAAAATCAAAATAACTGAAAATAAGACCTCAAGATGCACCTTCGTTTTTAGTTTCGGCATTATCAATCTTATCAAAAAGTTGCAAAAAAGTACTGGTTGCATTTTTATTTGCTTTTTCTAAGTTCTCACCAATAGCGAGAACAGGTAGATCAGCCAATAATTCTTCAATAAGTTTTTTTAACTTTCTTGCCTTCTTGCTAGATGATTTTTCAGTAGATGCAGATGATTTCCTAGTATGTTTTTCTGAGTAGTCTCATTAAATAAGGATAATAATGGTGATACATTCATTAGTGAATTTAATCCAAGATTATTGTCTAACATATTTGCAATAGCCGAATTTTACTAAACTGAAATGATTCAAAAAATCTTTGTTTAGATATTATTGGATTAATAATTTTGTTGCAATCAGGAATAGAGTATTTGTTCTCTTCTATAAGTAAAAAATTTTTTTTAATACATTTCCTATAATACACATGACCATATGGAAGTATTGTAAAGATGTAAAAAAAGCTCTTCGTCAGCACCTATTCAAAAACAATCAAATAAAAGCTCTTGTATCAGACAAAAGGTGAAAAAAACTTACTATTAAAGAAAGAGCTTAATATTGTGCAAAAACTAATGATATGTAGGATATTTGGGTACATACTTTAGACTTAACTATACTAAAAAATAATACAGATGAAGCAATTGTGACAGCTAGTTTTTGTATTTCACAATTTCATAGAGAGTTAGCAGAAGTTGAGGTTAGTTCTGAGCAAATTAATATATATATCAAATTGCCAAAAGTTACTTAAGCTTCTAAAAGAGGCAACTTGAACAGCGATTACCAAATTCACCTAAAACTCCCAAACACTTTTCTTTAGAGAAAGGATTTAAAAGAATTCAAAATATCAATATTACTAAAATTCCTACTATGCAAGATCTTGCAAATATAATTATAATGTTGAGCATGAGACCCGCTAAAGTTGCCACTCTTCCTATTATCTATTATAAACCTGGTGAATCGAATCCTCCTGAATAGTACAAACCTAGTTATTCTTGATATTGTATTGGGTATATTAAAATAAAGGAGAAGCAAAAAATAATTCTGAACCTCAGCAATTTTATCTATAAAAAAGAATCCAGAACATGCAAAAGAATTGCTTACCTGGATCCAAGATGCAATAGTAATCAGAAAGTTACACAATCCTGTCTATAGTATTAGTAGAAAACACAGTACAGAAGTATTTAGTAAATTCTTAAAACCATATGATATTACAGCCAAAAGATTAAGAAAAATCAGAAGTAAATATGCTTTTAGAGTTTATGGTAATTAAAATCCAACTTCACAACATCTTGAATTCCTTAGCAAAGTTGCAATAAAGTATAAGATAGACTGTTTTGATTCTGAAAAATATTATGCTAAGGGTGATACTTCAGATTTTAACCTTGACTCAGATCCAGAGCCTGAACCCAAAATCTTAGCTCCCATATCCAAGCCAATTAATGAGAATACTTCTGAAATTGAGGATATCTATAACTTATATAGGAGTATCTAGATTAGTTCGCTATAACTCAGCTTCGTCTTTTTGGGCCTGCTTTGCAATAAATTTATCTGGAAATAATCAAATCTATTAAATATTTTTTTCGCAGTAATAAGAGCATCATTGTTTATATAAATTATATCTGCAGATGGAACATGTGATTTAACTACATTCTTTATTATATAGTGGGTTATGTATTTTTGCAAATCTATAGAGATCAATGAATAATTAATCTGCCACTTTTTTTAGAACATTCTGGCATATTATACCTATTATGAATCTTTAAATTAGCATTATGCAAGTCAATCTGATGTCTCTGATGTTAGAATAGAACAAGAATAGAAATTATGCTAGTGATTTACAGATCTAATCCTACGAAATATAACAGATACTATAGCATCATTTATTCTACATGATAAAATTCTATTATAGGTTATTAGTAGATTTGTATAAGATACGAATTGAGGTTTAAAATGATATATAGTTATGCAAAAAACACATGCAATTTTCCAGATCTTGTATAATCTTGACAATAAATAGTATATATCTCGGTAATAACTTCAACTTTATTATAGCATATTAATTTGATATAAAACCCTAACTGGTAATCATCAGATTTTTTTTAAAGCATTATTGTTAAATATGCTTAAATTCAGTGAACAAATTGCTAAATCTGAAATTAGTATCTAATTTTTTTAGTCGTGGAGAATACACTATAAAATAAGCTAAGTATAATAAAGTTTGTTGTAAGAAACTTATCTGTACTTGCTTTACTGATATCATCATATCTCTTGTCAATCTCCAAAACTTCCTGCCTGTAAACTCTACTTTCTTTTCAAGACGGTTCTCTATTTTCTCATAAACTTTGTCTGCGAGTAATGATCTTAAAAAATCTTCAATAGTCACGAAACGAAAATAATTTTCGCTAGCATTTGTGTCATTGAGATCTTTTTTACTGTCATCTATGTTCTTCCCTTTGATGCCTTTGATGCAACAATCCCAGGCATTAAGAAGCAATAACCTGGCGGTAAGTTCTCCACGGTAACCGGCCTCTACTACACCTTTTTTAAGGGCTGAAGAGAGCTGATTAATAAGTTCTGTGGGGCTGATAAACGGATCATTCATTATTCGAGCACTAGCTTCTGCCAGTAAAGGTTCGGTAGGCATCGATGTAACAACGTATTCACGATTCTCCAAGATATTAATACAAAGGCGCATATTGTTCGCTACTAAAGAAGACGCAATCCCAGTTTGTGGCACTATTTCGATACATAAACGTGGTCCAAGAATAGCCAAAGTTTCCAAAA